AAATGAAATATTTCACAAATATATTTTTTTTTAAAAAGTTAATTTAATCAAAGAGCACTTCATTAGAGTTCCAAGAGTTTCCCAGGCCTGGTTTGTTAGCAAAGATGCTGGCAGAAAGTTGTCAAGGGCAGGAAGGAGACACAGGCATTCTTAGCAAGATGAAAATGGGTTCCCCATTCCCAATATATGAGGGAGTAAGACCTCATATATTCTTATGAACTTTCTTTAAAAAAACCTCCATGGAGAATGTGGAGAGGTGGGAACTCTCATATACTGTTGGTGGGATTGTAAAATGGTGCAACAACATTGGAAGGCAGTTTGGTGTATCCTCAAAAATCTGAACATAGAAACTTCATATGACCAAGCTATTCCACCAGGAGGAATACATCCCAAGGAAATTAAAACTGAGACACAGAGATTTGTACACCAGTGTTCACAGCAGCATTACTCTCCATCTCAAGAATATGGAAACAGCCCAAATGTCCAACCACAACCAAATGGAGTGAGAAATTGTGGTACATTTACATAATGGAATACTATGCAGCACTCAAGAGCAATGATTTAAAAAAACACTATATAACTTAGGAGAGACTAGAGAGCATAAAGCTGAGTGAATTAACTCAATCTCATAAGGACAAATATTGCATAAGACCATCACTGTAAAAACAGAAGGATAACTAGTAAAATATGTGTATGGATCCAATGGGGGAAGAGTGGGGAAAGAGGAATGAGGATGGATAGGGATGAAATCACAGGGCTGCATGATTTGGTGGGTGGAGGGATGAGATAAAGGAAATGGGAGAGATCCAACAGGGACATGAAAAGACAAGGTAATGGTGGGCATAGTCCAATGGTGATTAATTTTATAAAACATAATGAATGAGAATGGTTGTATGAAACACAATGTGAATGAAGAAGAGTGTGAAACATAATGTATACGAATTCTGTAAGCAAACCAACATTGTTGTTATGAGCCTGCAACTTATAGCAACCCTATGTACAGCAGCTCTGCCCTGCCCTGTCCTGAGTCAGTCTCACTAATTGCAACACACCAATCCCCACTGCCCCAGCCACTGTATCATTCCATCTCATCCAGGGTCTTCCTCTCCTGTGCTACAACCCTTCCTAGCATGATGTCCTTCTCCAAGGATTGGTCCCTCCTGGCCACATGTCCAAAGTATTTGAAACGTGCTTCAAAATCCTAGCCTCCAAGGAGAAATTTGGTTTCACCCTCTCCAAGATAGATTTATTTGTTTTCTTGGTGATTCATGTTATGGTCAAAACGCTTCTCTATCACAACTCAAAGAAAACTTCTGTCATCCTTAGTCACTGCCTAGCTCTTGGATGCATAGCAAGTAATTGTGAAGACCATGGCCTAGATCAGATGCACCTTAAGTCTCTAAACGGACCTCTTTGCTTTTCAGTACTCTGGAAAAGTCCCTGACAGCAGATTTATATAATGCAACTTGTCTTTTGATTTTCTGACTGCTAGTGCCAAAAGTTTTGATTGTGAAGCCAAACATCCTGCAATTGTTAACAACCTCAATTTCTAATCCATTCATTATGGTGCTGCCAGTCGGCCCAGTGGTGAGAAGATATTGAGCTTTAATTCATATTGAAGACTATAATCCTTAATGTTCTGCAACAAATGCTTCAAGTCAGCCTCAGTTTCAGCAAACAAGATTATATCATCTACATAACATAGGTTGTTGATGAATCTTCCTCTAATCCTGATGCCACATTCTCCTTATAAAGACCAGCCTCCTGAATGACCTGTTCTGCATATAGATTGAAAAGGTGTGAAGACAGAACACATCTCTGATATACTCCCTTCCTGATTTTTACTGTTTTCTGGTCCAAGTATGGGTTTCACATAAGCACAATCAAGTGTTCTGGGATTCCCATTCTCCTCAAGGTTAACCACAATTTGTTGTGATTCACACAGACAAATGCCTTTGCATAGTCAATGTTAACACAGATAGATATCCCTCTGGTACTTTAAAAAAAAACAAACTTACAAAAAATGATCTATGGAGAGTGTCTGTCTAAACTTTGTTTTTTATTAAACAGCAGCTGATTTAGAAGTTTTAAAAAAACAAACACAAAATTTCCATGACTACTAGCACTATTTAAAACATGTTTGCCACAACATAAACAGTCTTCCAAGTATCCTGAAAAATCTACCACCAGGAGAAGATAAAATAGATGAATGGAATCTTCTAAGACTCAAATCCCTATGAACATCCAAAAATTTCTCCAACAGAGTAAAATAGGAAGCCACAGACTGGGAAAAAGTATTTGGTAATGACATATCAGATAAGAGACTTATATCCAGAATTTATAAATACTTGAGCACCACAAAAGAGAAAGGTAAATAATCCAATAGAAAAATGGGCACAGGATATGAACAGACACTTCACCAAAGAAGACATTCAGATGGCTAACAAGCACATGAAGAAATGTTCAAAATCCCTAGCTCTAAGAGAGATGCAAATTAAAACAACTATGAGATATCATCTCACCCCAGTCAGAATAGCAAAATTTAACAGAACAGCAAGTAACAAATGCTGGCGAGGTTGTGGAGAAACTGGAACCCTTATTCACTGTTGGGGGGAGTATAAAATGGTGCAACCACAGTGGAAGGTGGTATGGCGCCTTTTCAAATAGTTGCAAATAGAGGATACAATTTGACCCAGCAATTCCACTACTGGGAATATACCCCAAAGAGACCATAACTGACATTCAAGCAGATATATGCACACCCATGTTTATTGCGGCTTTGCTCACAATAGCAAGGCGTTGGAAACAACCTAAGTGCCCATCAACAAATGAATGGATAAAGAAGTGGTGGTATATTCACACAATGGAATACTACACTGCACTGAAAAACAAGGAACTCACACAATAGTATTCAAAATGGGTGACCCTGGAGGACATTATGCTGAGTGAGGTATCTCAGTCACAAAAGGCCAAATACTTCATGGTGCCACTGTTGTAAAACAGGACTCACATCGGGGTTGGAGGAGGCTGAGAAAGATGGGTTCAATAATGTATACTGCATTGAAACAGATGATGGAGAAAACAGTTTAAAAGGGATATGTGATTAGGTATTTTTGGAATGACAGGTATCTAGAGCAAAGGCTACATTGTGGAGTGGACCTGGAGAGGGTGTGTAAAACAATGGAAGAATTTTTGTTTTACTTTTACAAGAGGGTAGTGTACTAGGGGGGAGGGTTAGGAGGGGAGAAAAGTGAAACAATGAATGAATGGAAATCCAAAGTCTCTGTAAATTTTTACTGAAAACAATAATTAAAAAATGTTTGGAATTATACTATACCTACTAAAATAAATCCTTTTATTTTTAATAAAATTAAATTTTGTTACTGTTAAGACCCAAAACTCACAGTGCCATTGAGTGGTTCTGTTCTGACTCAGCGACCACTTATCTAGTTTTCAAAGCTACAACTCTTTAAGGAAGGAAGAGACCGCTCATCTACTGCCATGGAGCTGCTGGTGCATCGAACTGCTAGTCTTTCAGTTACACGGTACATCACCAAGGCTGCTGAGACACAGCCGAGCATACATCATTTGTTAATTTCTACATGTACAATTTAGTGGTTGATGACAGTCTTCAAGTTGTAAGACCATTTTCACTCTTTCCTTAGTCGTTTCTCACTCTTTCCTTAGTTATTCTCCATAAGCTCTTTGGCCCCCAAAATTTCTGTCTAATATTTTGAGTTGCTGTTGTCAATTTGAGCCATATAAAAGGATTTTTTTTTTTTAAAATGAGCACTAACACTCAAGCTGACACTCTTTACTAGTTAAGAGAAACTACTGTTTGGTTTGGGAGCTCTGGTGGCCTACTGGTAAGAAATTGTGCTGCCATCCTAAAGGCACAAAGTTTAATTCCACCAGCGGCTTCAAGGGAGAAAGATGGGGAATCTCCTCTCAAGTGATTTACTGCCACTGAAAACCTGTTGGAGGGTCAGCTATGAGTCAGTTCGGACTTAATGGGACAGACCACCACCACTTTCATTTTAAGGAGGCTTCAAGAGGTGATTCTGGCTTAAGGTTTAAAGATGTTCTCTGGGTAACAACTCTAGGAGACAAAAAAAAAATCTGGATTCCATACAAATTTAAAATTTTGTTCTGTAGTTCCCTTTTCGTTAGATAAGTTATATTAGGATTCTTCCAGAGAATCTTTACCAAAAATGTTCAGCATAATGACATCAAAACACTAACCAGTTCTTCTGGTCTCATGGGAAATCAGGCGGCTGTTTATGAAGGCAGTTTGCCACACTTTTTATTCTCCTATTTTTTACTCTCCTTCTTCCGTTTCTCCAGGTAAATTAAACTCTTTCTGAAAGTGAGGAAATTGAGGTTTTAAGGGACATTAAGTATCTTGTTGATTCTAAAATTAATTTCTACAAGCCTGGAACGGAAATCACTAGTGACTCAACTTTCAGCCAAACAACAGACAGGTCTATAAGATGATCAACAACCACGAGGGTGAAATGAACTCCTTAGAACAATTGTCCACATAAGCTCAAAAGGGCAGCACTGGCCCAGAGACAGAGCTCAAAACACTGGACAAAAAATGAGAGGAGAACAAATGGAATTGGGAACCACAGGAGGAAGTGAGAAGAATGCGGTTACAATGTGGGAGACTGTAATCAATGTCAGAGACATACCCATTTTCCATATTGTCTATGCTGCTTTGAATTAATTACTTGGAACAGAGACCATCTTGCTTGCAAAGCTGAAAATATTTCATATTTGGCCCTTTGAAAAAAAGTCTGTTGACCTCTTGCCACACATTTCATTTTCTTTTTTTCTTTTTTTTTAATTTTGCGTCCTCCTAATTTTGATTCTCCTTCCTCTGCTTTTCTATAGAGGGCCCACAGGTAGCTGCAGCAGTACCTGAAGGCAGAGGTAGCCCCTGAAGACTCTCAGAACTCATGATCACCCCATCCATCAACAGCCCCAACACTGTCCCTCACCAGCTGGGGTAGAAAGTCCCGGTACTTCTGTAACTGGTTCATAAAGCATCGGACAATCCAGTAACAGTCGACGTTATCTTCCACCATCTCTTCCATGGCTTTAGCGATGGCAATAAAAACTTTATCTTCTGGCTCCTGAAAGATGAAGAATAACTATTCAGAGAGAGGCAATAGAAGAGAGAAACAAACATTTCTTTATTTAAAATGAAACTGCCACCTAAATGTTGAAGAGGCTGTGGGATCAAAAGGCACATCATCTATCAATATAGGGAAGATTACATTAAAGATTAAGAAGGAAGAATTCTAAAAGCCTATTTTCATGAGTATTGCTTCGGAAGGGCTGAAAACTCAAGGATTTTTCAACATATGACATCAGGGCCATCACAGTGACAATGTCAAGCAAGGCACTATTAGCATGTCCAAAAAATACTCACAGGGTTAGATGAGAATTTCCTTTAAAATAATGTGACCAAAGAAATTTGTCAAGACAGTAGTCTACACATATATCTACTCACAACTTTACAATCTGATATCTTGCACATAATAATTTGTGCATTAATAGGACAGATTTGCACGGTGGTAGCTGGTGGCAAAGCATCCCTTTCCTTGAGGAAGGTCTCCAGGCAGCCTCCAGGTAACCAAGCACTAAAGCCAAAGATGAAGAAACTGAAGATTCCTATCAACTTCTGCAGTTTGAAATGGATACAAAGTGCAGCTAAAATGCATTCATTAATAACTGGTTACTGGAATTCAAAAGAGAAAAGCAAAAGATTGGTAGTTGGAAAATAGCGCTTTAGTGCTAAAAATGAGGTCAAAGATGACACGACAGACTGTACAATCAGCAATTTATTCATTGCAAGTAAATATTTTTAAAACCATAAACAATGACCACAGACATGAACCTCACCAGAAGGAATACAAAAGAATCAGGTCAAGTGCATCTGTGTAAGGAGAATGAAGAAGCTCATTACCGTCAGTCAGGACAAGGCCAGGGGCTAAGTGTGGAACAGATCATTTACCTGTTGACAGGCAATTCAAAATGAAGCTGAAAAAAATGAAAATAAGCTCCTGAGAATCAAAATATAACCTTGGGTAATACAACCCACTTGAATTCAGAGATGAGTTCAAGAATATGTTGATGCTCTCAACACTATGACCTAAAACCAGACCAGTAGTGGGATGACATCAAAGATGTCATCCAAAAAGAAAGCAAAGGTCATTACACACACACACACACACACACACACACACACACCCTCTCCTGTTACATAAATTTATGTGACACCTCTCTCAATGCCTAGGCCAAAGGAAATTAAAGGTTTTTTTAAAAGTAGCCTTTTAATCCTCAAGGAAAGAAAAGATGTCACATTGGACTTCACAATTCAAGCCCTGGTAGGGTAGAGCACTGTTTAGACTCAGTCATGGTAGTAACATCTAATTACCTATGGTTAGAAGTTTGAGTTGTCACAAGAATACACAAAGCATTTTTTATGTTTCTCTTATTCCATTATGCCATAAAACTAATAAATGGATAGAACAAAGGTCATGTTAAGACAATATGGTGAAACTCTCAATAAACAAAGAGTCTTAAAAAGGTCATTACAAAGACAGGAAAGGACCATAGCTGACATCCAAGCAGATATACGCACACCCATGTTTATTGCAGCTTTGTTCACAATAGCAAGGAGTTGGAAACAACCTAAGTGCCAATCAACAAACGAATGGCTAGAGAAGCTGTGGTATATTCGCAAAATGGAATACTATGCTGCATTAAAAAACAAGGAACTCATGAAATATACAAAATGAGTGACTCTGGAGGACATTATGCTGAGTGAAATATCCCAGTCACAAAAGGACAAATATTACATGATGCCACTGTTGTAGAATGGGACTGTCCTTGGGGTTGGGGAGAGACTGAGTAAGATGGGTTCAATAATGTATACTGCACTGAAACAGAGGAGGGAGAAAACTGTTTAAAAGAGATATATAACTAGGTATTTCTGTCATCACAGGAGACTAGAGCGAGGGCTACATGGTGGAGGGGACCTGGGGGAGGGTTTGTAAAACAATGAAAGAATCTTTTCTTTTACTTTTCCATAATTTTTGGACTCATGTACTTATAACTTGTTAGTCAAATTTGTGTCTTCTAGGTTGCAACACCCCCATGATACATCTTCAAGGATATGAACATGTATGGCCAAGCACAATCAATAAGAGTGCATCTAAATTCCAAAATCAATCTCCATAACAGTCTATATGTTTCCTACTGCCAAAGGGGCCCTTTAGAGTAGTGAGAGAAGATCTTCACCCTGAAACCCACAGCGTCCCTTTTCAGCAGGAAGTAGCTAAGAGAATACGCCATCCCCTTTTCCTTATGACTCAGGGTGAAGTCTCTCTCAGGGAGGAGTGATAGGGAATGGCAAAGGACACACTGAGAAAGAAGATTAATCAGAACTGGCTTTGACAAGCACTGTGGCATTTGGACAAGAACAAACTGGGAGGAGGGTAGAGAGAATAGTGCAACAATGAATGAATGGAAACCCAAAATCTCTGTAAATGTTTATGAAAATTAATAAAATATAGAAAAAAAAACCAAAGGAAAAAAAAAAAGACAGGAAAGGAAGGAAAAAAATCAAAACAAATGTCAGAAGAGACTCTGAAACTTGCACTAGACCCTAGAGAAGTTAAAGAAAGATGAAAAAATGATGTGGTAAGAGAGCTGAAAGCACACTTACTCAGTGCTGACTCAAAACTTACTCACACTTACTCAACAACTGACTTGTAGTTGACCCTCCAGCAAGTTTTCAGCAGCTGTAAATCACATGAGAGGAGAATGTTCATCTTTCTTCCACAAAGTAACTGATGGATTTTAACCACCTGCCTTTGGGTTTGCGGTACACTCCTCAGCCAGTGAGAGCTGGGTAAGTGAGAACTCCCTCAAGTAATAGAACAGAACCATAGATTTGATATATGCTACTTCATAGACAATCAGAAAGCATATACAATTAACAACTATTAAAAATATTAACTGTAAGAGCAATTAACCACACGAGTGGGGGCAGGGCGGAAATAAGCATTCATTCCAGAAAATTTCTGAGGACCTTTAAGAAAAAGAATCAAAAATAGTAAAAAATAAATTTTAGAATTAAATACTTAAAGATCAAATCCTTGATTGTTATACTTACTTTTAGGGGTGTTTTCCCCCCACTTAAAAAAAAATGTATGAACCAGAACTGCATTGGCTTGAAGGAAAACTTTAAAATCTGCTATTCCTGGAATCTTCTTAAAAATGGCAATGTTTTTAAAAAATGGTAATGTTTGTGTAGTTGCTACCTGTAGCAATGTGGTATTCATATCAATCATTTACTGATGAATTTCATTTTCATCAAGAAGTCTATAAAATCTCAGAGGTAGGAATATTTAAGGGTAACCAAACAATGTGCAGCATCAAAAATACTGAATTCTGCTTTCACAAAAGTGAAGAAAAACATCATTCTCAGTATATAAAACTTCTGGAAAAAGATCCTCTACATGTGTACGTGTGAAAATATTATACATAAGAAGAAGCAACTTATTGACAGCTGGGGCCCCATCTCATTTGTGCTTACATAATTACTATTTAAATAAATAATCACGACAAGTCAGTTGTCAGGTTTCAGAAAATCATAGTCTTCTTTCAAAAGGTCCTGTCATAGTTTAAGGAAGTGTGAATCTTCATTTGAGGACAAGCTCTTCCACCTGAGCTAATACTACAGATGTGGCTTCAAGAAGTTGAGTTAATGAAAATGCTTCATCTCCAATCTGCAACTTCATTTCATCAAGAGGGCTCACCATTTAGCTGCTGTTCCTCCTTACAACGTACCAATCCACACTACTGGAATGCTAGGAGAGCATAACGAGACGTCTGAAAACAAGGGAGAAGACTGAGGTGGTGGAGTGGTTCAAATGACAATTTTATAAGGGCTGTGAAGAAGGGTATGAAAACAGTCAAGACAACAAAAAGACTATATACCTTGTCCAGCTCAGCCAAGGTGAATGGTGATACTAAGAGAGCTGAACAGAGGATTTTAAATGGATGTTCTAGAAAATAACGTATTATAATGAAATGAACAAAGACCTGGAGTTAGAAAACCAAAAGAGAAGAATACGCTTGGCATTTCTCAAGCAAAAAGAACTCAAGAAATCCAAGCCTTGAGCTGCCAGAGGGAGTTCTAATGGCTTAGTGGCAAGGAGTTGCGCTGCCAACCTAAAGACACATGGTTTGAATCCACCAGCTTCTCTAATGGAGAAAGATGGTGGTTATCTCCTCTTGTACAATTTACAGCCTTTGAAAACCCATTGGAGGAACTGCTATGAGCTGATTCCAACTCAACAACAACACTATTTACATGACTGAAAGATACACAGACAAAATATTAAAAGGCACAAGGAGCATTAAAAGAAGATGGAAGAAATAGATAGTGTCATTGCAGACAAAATATTAAATGGCACAGGGAGCATTAAAAGAAAATGAAAGAAATAGTGTCATTGTACTAAAAAAAAGTAAGCAATGCTAAATCAATTCAGGAAAATCATGTTCCAAGAATCTATGGAGTTTCAAAAAACAGATGCAGTCTTGACATTATCACTCATCTCAGTTAAGAAATTTGGGAGCTACCCTCAGCAACCAACTGGAAGAGATCCAGACTGTGGCCATTCCAAAAAAAAAAGGTGACCCAACATAATGTAGAAATTACCAAACATTATTATTAATATCACACACAAATAAGATCTTTCTAGAGATTATTTAAACAGCTGGAGCGGTATATTGACAAGGAATTGCCAAAAATTCAAGTTGGATTCAAAACAGCCCGTGAAATGAGGGACATCACTACTGATAGAAGATAGATCTTGACTAAAAGCAGGAAATATAAAAACGATGTTTACTTGTATTTTACTGACTATGCAAAGGCTCTGATCTGTATGGATCATAATAAATTATGGATAACACTGAGAAGAATGGGCATTCTTGGACATTACAGTGTGCTCATGAGTAATCTATGCATAGACCAAAAAACAGAGGAAAAGAACAAGAGAACTTTTTTTGTTTCAAATGAGGAAGGTGTGTGCCATGGTCATATCCTTTCACTATACCT